AGCAGGAAGGACCATTAGCCATAAACTGATCTTCACCACTGTTTAGGTAAGGTCAAGCAGGGCCCTGCCTCCAAGCAGTGAAAATTCCTCCTAAAATACAGATGCAACATCCACTAGGTGGCAATTTCACACCAGACACAGAGCAAGGGACAGCACCACGAAGCCCCAGTGTTCACATCATCTGCAGAACATCAGATTGAGCCTGTGTGCAGATAAACTGCAGCTTAAAATAACTTGTAGAGGGGAATATTTAGCTTTTCATTGCATAAGCTGGCAGAGTTACCCACAGTGTGTGCACTCACCTTCAGCATAGTGTCTAGGGTAGCACTATCTCCATGCTTCAAAACAGTTACATATACCTAAGAGAGCATAAATAAGGAAAGTCCTTTAAAAAACCCACACTTTTAGAAATGCTACAATCAATTCCTATGTTTTATGGCAGACCTCAAACAACTGAACAGATCAGACCAGCACTGATCCCTTCTGTGTTTTCAGACAGGATTTTTAAAAGACCCATCAACTCCTCCATTTCACCCTCTTCCTCAATTTCAGCATAATTTGGGTACTTTCAACCACAGCAAAACACCAGGAAGAAGAAATCTTTGTACCACCCAACACCTAGAGAGGGCCAACATCACAGACATTCAGTCCAACATCCACCAGAGAGAGACTTTAGGCTCTGCAAGGGCTGAGCTGACACCTGCAGAGCTCCTCCAGGATCCCTGCAGTTTTCCACAGTCCTTTTCAGCCTGGAGGATGCAGGCTGGTCATGGAAGGGTGTAACTGAGTAGAAGCCAGCTCAGGTTCAGCCCTGCACTTGGACAGTTTTCAAAACCCAAAAAGCAACACCATCTAGAGACCAGAGCTGTCCTGTGGCAGCTGCTGTGGGTACAGCTGAGCTTATGAATGATGAGCAAGTATTGGCCACGGAGAGGAGGCTGAATTGATTCAATTACTGCAAGAGTTGGAAACACAAGAGTTCAGAGCACACTGCTAAGTGAGTGGGGACAGTCTTTTGGGAAGCACAATGTACAAGGACCTACAGGACTCCTCAGGTCAGCTGAGAGAACATGTTTTCCTTCCACATGATCCTTAAATCGGCGTCGGGCTTCTTCTAATGTTGCCTTGTGCCCAGCTTTGCCCAGTTTGCCCAAGACCAGACCTCTCAGAAGGGCATCTAGATGACCTGATGAGTGAGTATGGAAAAAAAAAAGTCACTATTTTGACACAGTTCAGCAATTAAATTAAGTGTTCTTCCACCCAGAGTGACCAGGGCAGAGCTGTGTAACAATCCTTCCAGATGCATGAAGGTATCTAAAGAAATTAGGCCTCTTCTCACTCTCCTTGGTGCCAGCTGGAGAATACATTTATTTTTCTACAGCAAGAGGGTCAGGAGAAGATGATTCCAGCCCAAACACAACAGGCTGGACCTGTAACCTGAGCCAAGTCAGTAATATTAACCATTTGTGGACTAAGAGCAGTAATCATGTACATCCATGGCTCTCCACCCTTGTAAGCTAAGAAGTTTCATGCACTCTCACAGATGCAAAACTGAAGGAAAGAATTTGTATCAGTTGGTGACCAGATAGGGAAAAGCTTTACCATTTTAACTTGTACCTGATAACAAAGGGGTTTTAGGAGCTATTGTGTTTGTCTGCTTGGTTTCAAAGGATACAAATGCCCCTGGAATGCCTACTTCAGGCTCCTCTTCCTCCCTTCTCTCCCCTTCCCCAAAATCTTGATGACTCATTTACACATGAGGCTTCCAAAACCACTACTGGATTTCACAGCACAAGTTTCCTACCCTCTCCAGGTTTGGGGTCCCATCCCAGTCTCTCCCCTATGGGTGAAAAGACATCTTTCACGAACACCTGGATCTCCTCATAGAAGTCTGTGTGGGACAAGAGAGTTGAGAGAATTCCCAGGTTACAGCTGAGGTCGCTCCACACAGTATAATTGGGCTCATTCACAAAAGCTTCCATGACTTTTAGAACCTCTACAGTGCTAATGATTCCAGCTCGGGCCTGGGAGAGGAAAAGACACCACATTAATCTTACTTCCAAAGCAGAATGAAGACATTGAACAGCTCATCACATTATTTGACAGTCCTCCCAGCCTGCCCAGCAGCTCTTTTCTCTGTGCTGGGCTCCTGCCAAGGTGAGTTCACACCAGCACACAAGGCTGCTTCTCCACAGGTGAGCCCTTTACAAAGAGGCAGCTACAGAACTATAAGCACACTTTGCAAAGCAAGAAACAAGACAAGGAGATTCAGTGACTTCACAAAATTGCAACAGTGCTGGCAAGGAAAAATAAAACCCCAAACAAATCCCCCTTCCCCCCTCTCCTATGACACCCACCAAAGTTTTACTTTAACTAAAAAACTTTAAGTATTTTTTGCTCCTTGTTACATGGAGAGGGTAAAACTGCAGGAGGCATTTTTTGCTTCCTGCTTCCCATGAATTAGCAGAACAAGGAGCACTGCCTTGCCACCTCTGCCAGGAAAGTGGTGTATTAATTGCTCCAGAGGGTCATGAAAACAGTTCCATGCTTACTGCAGTCCATAGTACCTACAGGAGGTATCTCCAACCAGATTGCTCAGATTTTTGATAATCTGGAACCAGACCAGTAATTTATGGTACTGGAAAAGAGGTGAAGATCAATTTTTATTATCTAAGCTATATTCACCTATGATAAAAACATGATTAAAACTGAAACCCAACTAGGAGTCTAACACAATGTTCCTATGTGGATTATTTGCTCATTTTTTTGGTCACAATAGTCTGGAAATCCTTGGGAAATGACTCAGTTACAGCTTCAAACCCCTTCAATTAAGTAATGACAAAAGTTATGAGCTTTGGGGCTAAAGAGGCAGGATGTCAAACCCAGCTATTTAAAAGTTTCCACATTCTTGCTGACCAGCAAGAATCAGAAAGTACAACCCAAAAATACAGTGGCTATTGTTCAGAGGTAGCTACACCTGTTTGGGGGTAATTCCTTGTTTTTAAACACTAGGACTCCCCAACAGCCACCTCCTCAAGTGGGGGACAGTTTTAACAAGCCCAGCTGGATGAAGCACAGGGTGCTGGATGGACAGTGTTTGATAAAATCATTGAGGGGATCATTAAAATCCCCTTCTTTTGATGAGTTGAAGAGGTTCTCAAAACATTGAATGATGTGAGACAACCTAGAGCAGAATGCACTCCTGTCGAACAGTGCAACAGAGGAGTCACAGACAGTGCTTCCACAGGGTTGGAGTCTTGGAATACAAGTTAGAACTTGTCCAGCTAGTTAAGAGCTAAATTTATGCAGTAATCCCCAAGGCACTTTGCCTCCAGGAACTGAGAGTGACTCTTCAGACACCAATTCCTGCAGGGACTGTGGCTCTGACTATTAGGACAGAACAGCAAATGCTTGCTTACCAGAGAGAAAAGATCATTCTGCAGGCCAAGCCTGTCCACGGGGGGTAGGGAGAGGTCTTTGATGGCTGGTATTAAACTCTCCAGCATGTCAGGGCTGTACTGAGTACGGTAAAACCCGACTGTTCCCAGGTTTAACTGCCAAGAGAGTCACAAATTAGAGGCAAGGAACAAACACAGAAATGCTTTTTTTTCCTTTGAACCACTAGAAATGTCTCCAAGCATGGCAGCTCAGAGCAGTCAGGCACTGTCATTTAAATAAAGTGACAGAACAAGGCAGAAGTGAGGGAGAAAGGCTGAACATTTCAAAGAAATGCTCACTCAGAGGTGCAGAAGAGAGAAACGAGGAGCAAGGAGAAATGAGAAACTTCTCTCCTAGGGTTAACTCCTAACTGTGGTCATGCACTGAGAAGATAAACCACAGGGACTGCAGATGCTAGAACCTTAACTCTCCCCTACAAGCTGCTCCATTAACAGATGCTAGAACTTTAAAACTTTAACTCTCCTGCAACTTGCTCTGTTCCATCTTGATAGAACCCTTTTCCTGAGAAGGCAGAGCAAGCACCTCTGCCCAGCACAAAAACAAGTCATGGGCAGTAAGTCTGATGAGCTGCCCAGGCTACAGGCTGCTACCTGCTTGCATTTTAGTATGGATGGTCAAATATTGTGGTTGGTATAAACCATAAACACTGCTGAGCTGATCAGGAAGTCACTCCTCTGCTGCTGCTGCAACCACTCAGCCCAACCTCCAGTCCTGACCACTGACTATAAACCTCACAGACTGATCTTTGCAGTCCTACAATTCACCTTGGACTGAGCTGGGCTGTTGCTTTCTCAGGAAGAAATACCAAACTTTACCCTCCTTTAGACAGGGCATTTTCACAATTGTTCACTTTATACCCCCCTGTTGGCAGGGAGGGCACAGAGAGGGTGGCTCAAGAGAAATGACAGGCCTGGCAGCAGGGATGCCCATGCTCATTAAATGGGAATATTTGATTCATATTCAGAGACCCTTAGTGTTAAATCAGAGTGAAAAGCAGAATCAGAACAGAGCTCCAGCTTAGAGACAAGTGCTGTTCAACCCCAGCCAGCTGCTCAGTTTTTAAGTGCAGTGACTGCAGGAGACTCCAACAGTGAATTTTTTCACTTGCAGATCTTGTCTGGCAATAGCCAGCAGAAAACCTTCCCACTAATGAAAGATAAACAGGACAATTTTTGCTCAGGATAGGCTTGAACTAAGCTGTGTGTCCCTGTGTTAAACTGTGACACTGTGGTTGCCATGGGATACCAAAAAAGCCACCACATTTCAACTCAAAAGCTGCCCTAATTGCACACTGGTTTTCCAGGCTCAGATTCCTAAAAAGGTTCAAGTTTGGATTGTCTTGACTGCTCTTGGGAGGGAAGGGGCTGAGCAAGCACTGCAGAGAGGAGCCAACATTCAACAGCAGCACAAGAGGCCTCTTCCTACAAGACACACAAAACTGCAAGGGGGAAAAAGAGAGAAAAGTGAAATGCAAGGGAACATTACAGGGACAAACTTACTCACAGGGATGTGTTCTCCTTTGTGAGCACTCACCTTCACCCACTGCTCTGGTTTGACATCTTTCAAGACCAAGGTAAGCTCTGGTTTGTCCATCAATATTTGCATTTTGGCACGGGTGGGGTCATCACTTGTACAAATACTGATGGGGACCATCCACATGGGGAAATCCTCCCCTGCAAGAAACAACCATAAAAAGGCCTGAGGAAAAAAGAAGTATGCACACAGCTCTGAGGAACTCTGCCTAATGTTCAAACAAGTTCAGCAGCATTTTGAACAAGGGTACTGAAACTTAAAGCTAAAGAGGCACAAATCTGAAGGAAAATGGCAGTTCTAGAGTTAATACTCAAGAATCTCTGTTTAACTGAGCTTTCAAGCCAAACATCTAAATTCCTATGGAAGATGGGTGGAATCTGTGTCCACAGACAGAGCTGGCTTCCATATGTGGTGTTTTTATTTCAGCACTACTACAAAACCAGCAGCTTAGAGAGCTCCTCAGATGGCAGCACTGGCCTTAAACTGGACATCAGAAGAGAAGCACCTCAGAGTGAAAACTGAGCCAAGGGCTGCAGGTGAATGCAGTTTTCCATGCAAGGAGGACATGGAAACCACACGTGTGAGTGTGTTAATCCTCAGGCTTTCTAGAGTTTTAACAAATCCCTCAAGACCTGAAGCCAAGCACCTGCCTGTTCTGCACTGCAGCTCTTTCACCTCTCACCACTGCTGCTATTGCATCAACAACAACCCCTCCCTTCCTGCTCTGAGCACTTAGCTTACCAGTATATGGTCCACTGGCACAGAATTTCTTCTGGACTAACTTCAACACTTTGTCATCATCTTGCTGAGGGGAAAAAAAGAGGAAAAAGAGCGAAAGGAATGATCAGAATATTCACCTGCTGCTCCTGTGCCCTCTGTTAAACAGTCACTTCCATTCTGCTCCAGAAAAAGCAGCTACCTCCAGAATCATTCCAAAGCATGAATCACTGTCACTGATAACACACACATGCCCCATTTCTCATTTGAATTTGTTGTCTTGAGTTCAGCTTTCAGCCAGCAAACCTCCCTCACCCTGCAATCTTGTAGAATAAACATGACTGAGCTGGAGGGAGAAGCCAAACATGTGGCAGGGGGGGCTCAGAGATCTCCCCCCACCCAGCACACATTCTGGGCCCTGTCAGCAAACCCAAGCATGTGATCCAAGCTCATGGAACAGCTCCAGGTCCCTTTGCTCTGGGTTCCTCAGGTGAGCTGCACTTCCCTTCAGAAACACATCTGTCCCCAAACAAAGCAGCCCCCTGCACTGCCTCCTCATCAAAGGGAACTTCTGAAACCATCAGCCACTGCTAAGCTTGATCTCAAAACACAGTTAAAAGGCAGAACCTTTGATCTGAAGTGCTGTGTTCTATTTACCTGTTCAGCTTCCACGTAAATGAGTGGAAATCCCATTTGTTTGGTCCATGTGTTCATCACAGCAGCAATAGGTTTACCACTGGCTTTTTCCAGGCTGTCCCAAAGGTCCTCTGCAGAAGAAAAGTCTCACTAAGGACTCCCCAAGTCTTGCCACATCAGACACTATTAAAGACATTCCCTGGACACTGATCTTTGAGGTCCCTTCGAACCTTAACCATTCTAGGGTTCTAGGAGGGTGGGGGGCTGTGTTATTGCTCCAGTTTGCCCTTCAAAAGAGGTGAGAGGCAAGAAAAAGGAAATCATATAAACCACTGATGGGGAGCAAGGGGAGCAGAAAGCTTCTTTGCTGCTAAAAAAACATTCAATCAATACACATTGTGATGAAGCATAATAAAAATGAGCATTAATTATTCAAACCAGGAAATAGAAGAATCTTTTCCTTAAGTGTTTTATGTATCACATCAAAAGAGCTGAGCAAACACAGGCAGGTTTTGGCTGACAGAGCATGATGTTCCCCTTCCACATTTATGCCTGATACACAAAAAAGGTTCAAGAGCAGAAATTGGTGTGAGATTTTAGGCAAGACTTGGAGCTGTTTGATCACACCTGCAACCAACACTGCCCCAGGAACCCTGCAAAGGGCTGACTTGGCAAAGCAACAGGCCCCACTTCTAAATGAGACCAAGGCAGATGTGGTCATCAGCAGTAAATGCAGCCCTTTCAGATGATCCCCAGCCACACCCTCCTGAGACACCAGAACCCCTGGAAGATGCTGAATTCTGGCTGTGCAGGGGACACATGGTATGAAACTGGAACCAAGCCAATTGTTTCCTTGCATTTCAGTTCTCCCAGGTGTTTTAAGAATCCAAGACTTTAAAGAGTCTCCAGAAACCACTCCTCTTGAGCACAGCCCAGCCTCCAAGTTACCTGTTGCAGCATTCTTCTGCTGGAACTTCGTTAGATACAAATTCATTCCTTTCCTGAAGTCCTGGGAACACACAAGTTGACATGTGATGGCACCAGAGCAGAGGTCCTGTCTGTCCTCCCTCTGTGCTGCATTTATACCCAGGAATTGACCAAGGAATGTTAGGATCAGCAGATACACCTCTATCTCCTTCCACGTTTTCCCACTATCTTATTTCTCAAATAGAACCCAAATAGAAACAGGATAAAAGTTTTCAAAATACAGAATACACAGATTATTGACTTTTTTTTTAAGGTATTAACTGCACAAAGGTTTGACAATCTACATCTGGCTTTTTAACACCCATCTTTTTACCTCATCCCCAATGTAGTCGTGCAGCATTCGGATCACAGATGCTCCCTTGCTGTAAGAAATAGCATCAAATATTTCATCTACTTCAGAGGGATGGCCAACACTGACCTGTGGGAAACAGCAGAAGTGACAGTGAGAACAGCTTTAACTGCCATAAAATACTATTTTCCTTGACCTGCTGTTGAAGGAGCTGACTTTTCCCACTGAAGAAAGCACAGGCAAATTGTCTTAGTGGCATCTCTGCACCCCAGCCAAACTTAGTCACACATGGCTGGGTTAGGATTGGTTGGCAGGTTAAACATGTTTAAATTCAGATTTTGATATTTAAGCAAATAAACTCAGGGATCTTGCTTCAGTCTTTTGGTTCAACACATACCCCACAAGCCAAAAAAACCCCAACAACCAGTGGCAGTTGTTCAGCTCTGGGACGGTGAACAATACACAGTCAGGAAATGCACCCGATGAGTAAGTGGCTCTAAAATGACCCGTTGTACAAAGCAAGGGCAGCTCCCAACATCTGAGCCACCAAACATGCCCTAAGCCACCTGAAAACTTATTCATGATGATCTCTGGGAACTAAAGGGGAGTTTTCCTTTAGCAAAGCTCCCAGTTTTGCTGTAACTGAGCTTGCTGCTGCCTTCTCTTCATGCCCAACTACTGCCTTCTTTCCAAAGCAGCAAACCCAGCTTGATCCTACTTAATTTCAAGACTCAGCATCACTCTCAGCTCTGGGAGAACAAAACACTAGAACACCTCAGGTGGCCACAGGCAGGAAGAAGTAGAAGCCCAGCAAAGGTTGGTACCTGGGCTCTGGGCTGTGCTGCACTCTGGTTGATGCTGTTGAGCACTGGGGTCAGTCAGTAGCTACTTCACTGTGCTCATGTGCCAGAAAACTACACACTTAAGATCACAAAGCAACACAAAACACAAATAACAATGAGTTTCAATCACAACTTTGCCACGTCAAGTCAGTGGAGTAGAAAAAAAAACTCCAGACAAAGCCATCTTCAGCCCCTCAAACCTCACTGCTTCAGTACTAATTCAAGTAGAAGAAAACCCCACAAATTAAATGCAACTTTGGGTTTTCCTTTGCATGGTGAATGACTGCAAAGGTTGTTGTTTTTTATTTCTTGACAGGAAAGAAGTTTACACCCAGCTGAAAAGGAAAAAAGGGAGACAACCAAGAGCACAGACAGAACTTACTTCAATGGGATGACTGTTGTCTAAGGCATCAAGCTCTTGAGCTCGTGTGTAATCAGCAGAAACAAACTGAGTCCAGATGTCATACTCTGGGAAGCAGTGGTCCACACACAGGTACTCAATCCAGGAGGCAAACCCTTCATTCAGCCAGAGATGGGTCCACCATTCCTGGAAAGATAAGAAGGCAGAATAAAGGACAAAATCCCAAGAGCTTCATTTAATCAACAAGAAGTTTCCAGCACAGAGAAGCTGCTAATGGCCTAGTTGAGTACAGATCAGAGATACAGGTAACACTTCTGAGCACAGATTCCTCTCTATAAAGAAGTCATCAAACTAAGAAGAGTCACCAGCACCCAGGGACTGATCTAAGTTCTAGAAACTCTGCATAGAGAACTGCACCAGGTACAAGTGGAATTCCTGGAGACCAGACTAGAGCCACTGAGGGAACAGCCAGGAATGTCCACTGGAGCAGGGAGAAGAGTCAGGGAACACAAGGCCAGCAAGGCAGCAGGACTGTGGGCAGCACAACCAAACTGAACAGCAGCAGCTGCAGGAGATGGACTGGGTTTGGGTTTGCTTTTTTCCTGAAGAATATGCTTATGCCCAGGAGAAAAGCTGGAGTCTGAAGCAGTGTTCCAGGCTGTGCAAACCTGGAATTTGGCAAAGAGTTAAAAAAAAAAGTTGTTCCTCTCCAGCCAGAGGTGGGCTTTGTTTTTTTAAGATAAGAATGTTACCCTGACATTCTGAAATTCTTCCCTCCTTCTATTGCTGAACTGAAGTGGGCGAGATAAGGAAACTGAGGAAGAAAACACCCTTTTCCATAACTGCTCTTACCAACCACTCTGTAAATGTGATGGGGGGGGAGCCCAGACCTGCAGGGCTCTGGTGACAGGGCAAAAAGAACTTCCCAGGATGCAGGATCAGCCCAGTGAGCTGCTCCACAAAGAACCTCTGCTTCCACCATGAATGAAACGTTCACCCCAGGGAGGGGGGAGTTTCCACAAGGAAAGCTGTTAGTGAAACTAGACAGATAAGCTCTGCTTTATTTTTAGAGTGGAGACCATCCAATTTTTTCTTTTATATTTCAGATGGCATCTGTTTCCAAGACAAGGTTCCAATACACACAGATTGGTGCCAGAGGATTAAGGCAACTGCAACACAGACTCTTGGGCAATTAGGTTGGACTTCTAAACCTTTTAACCTCCCTGGTTTTCCCCTCTGGCAAACTAATTGCTCACAAATCTCTTTCTTCCCCTGGAATTATTCTGATTTCATTTCTCTTTGCCATAGAAGAAGTGGCATCTTGTGCTGGCCAGTAATATCTAGTACTGGCAAGCTAAACCAGTGGTGCTCCTGGGGCTTCCTGCTGTGCTGTGAGCACCTCAGAGCACAGAGGAGAAAAACCTGATGTTCTGGGAGCTGAGAAGCAACACTGGAATGTCTTTTCATGTTGCATCACAGAACATAAAGTACTAAGCAAAGAGGAACATTTTTGGAACACCTACAACTGCAGAAGGAAAATAAAAAGCCTATTCAACATACATTTTTTTTTTTTTTAGGAATTCTTGTAAATGATGCTCATCTCCAGCTTCCTGCCACAGTTCTCAATGGTCAGAAGGACCACAAATAGTTCACAGGTCATTACTGGTCCCCAGGGCACTTGCTGGCATCCTGCAGTGGTGTCCAGCCACATGATGCTGGGCTCTCCCTGCTTCCAGCTGCTCAACTCTACTAAAAGCTAAAAATATATGACTTTCTGCTACTTTGCCATTTAAATGTTGTGTTGCTGTCCTACCTGTGCTACCACAAACAGGAAGGGATTCAGCTGACTAGATTTTAAGAGGCACAGCACTGTGGAAAAATTTGAAAACCTCTGCTTGGTGTTATAATTAATATTTAACAGTGGGGTTTTTCCTCTACTCACTCACACTCCACCTAGACAGCCCAAAAGCCAGAAAAATGCAGATTTGGGCTCCAGAAGCCAGACTTTTTTAGCAAACACACTGGTTTCTTACCATCCAAGAAACTTCCTAACCTATGAAATATTTGGATTCAAGCATCTGTTTGCAGGGTTTTGGGAAAAAGAATGTCAGATCCAATTAAGACAGTAAGCTGGAGCCATTTGTTAACAGCAGAAGCTCTGACAGATCCAGGGTTCAGTTTTTAGCACTAAATGGAATTTATTTATAGATTTCAGTCCTGCTGCCTCAGATATGCTCTTATTCCCACCAAGATGACTTAAAATTCAAACCATTCAGAGAGCAGGCTGCCCATCTATCCAAAGTAAAGTGTGCAAGTTACTACTGAGCAACTTCTCAGCTACAGGACCAGAACAATTTGCAATGCTGGGTTGGTACTGACCCACCAGCCTGGTGTGAATGCCTGAGTGAAACGTGCCTCTCTGGGAGGAACAAAGTGAATTATTATTTACAGGAGTGATAGGGAGATGTTGGAGAAAGGCCAGAGGAGCCACAGAGATGATGGGAGGGCTGGAGTAGCTCTGCTCTGGAGACAGGCTGGGAGAGCTGGGGCTCAGCCTGGAGAAGAGAAGGCTCCAGGGCTCCTTAGAGCACCTTCCAGTGCCTGAAGGGGCTCCAGGAAAGCTGGGGAGGGACTTGGGACAAGGGCAGGGAGGGATGGGAAGAGGGGGAATGGAGTAAAACTGGGAGAGGGAGATTTGAGGTGAGACATGAGGAGGAAATTCTTTGCTGTGAGGGTGGTGAGAGCCTGGCCCAGGTTGCCCAGGGAAGCTGTGGCTGCCCCATCCCTGGCAGTGTTGAAGGGCAGGTTGGATGGGGCTTGGAGCAGCCTGGGCTGGTGGGAGGTGTCCCTGCCCATGCAGGGGGGTTGGAACCTGATGATCTTTAAGGTCCCTTCCAACCTTCACCATTCCATGATTCTATTGCTTCTGATTAATCTGATTCATTCCCATGGAACACCTGCTCAGCTCTGACCAAGACTATGTTCAAACAACTGAGTGTTACTTCACCTTGAAAAGATCTAGGAACACTTCTAGAGAACACACTGCTCAAGTGCTAATACAGCAGTATTTCAGATAATTAATTACTTTATGTCTCAGAAATAGCATGCCTGCTGTTAAGGGGCACTCAAACACACACATGATATGAAGCACATGTCAAAGACAAGTAGAAGAACTTATAATGGTTAGATACCATAGTCACAAGGTTTCCAAACCACTGATGAGCAAGTTCGTGTCCTACAACCAGAGCAACCCACTGGCGAGATGAAGAACAGGAATTTTTGGGGTCAATGAGCAATGCAGTCTCCCTGTGTTCAAGAGAGAAAGAGAACTGAGCAGAGTGGTACATGCCTAGGGAAAAAAAAATACAATCAAAAGTAGGTTAAATTACCTAAGCAAGCTAAAAAGTGATCAGAACAACTGGACAAAAAAAAAAATCAACCAAAAACAAACCCCAAAGCTATTTCAGTTTAGTCATTCAATGATTTTGGTAAGTCCCACAGCTGTTGGAATGCTCTGGAGCAGTAATTCCTTCTGGCATGCAAGAAGACAAGTGCAAAAACCCAGGCAGGAACAAGAAAGTTTATACTTTGTTTTAAAAAGAGCTCACCTACCAAAGCTAGGAACCTTAACTGCAACTGCCCCTGCTCTGCATGATGCCTGCACAGCCAGGCTTCTCTGCCTCCCCCATTCCCACAGGAATTCCAGCTCTTCCAGGTGCACAATCAGCCATGTTGCACTGATGCACAAGGTTCTCCAGGCAGGGCACACACTCACACACACTCACACCAGCACCTGCCACGGGTGGCACTTGGTGGGGCAGGCACCAGGGATTCCTGGAATGCTGCAACTCCCAGGGGAAAAACATGCACCTCGAAAGAGAGGTGGTGCCTGCAGACTGTGCCAACCTTCTGTCCCCAGAGGGATCCAGCAAGGGGGCCAAACTGACAATCAGGGGATGGGGGGAATTAACAGCATCATTAAGGCTTAAAAAAAATTTTCTACTCATCCAGGACATTTATTTTTTCCCCCACAGGGAGTAAAATATCAGATTTCACCAGGATTGAGATAAACAGATGAGCAGATTTTTAAACCTGGGCTCCAATTTCCATTTCAATTCTTTTTCTTTTAAAAGCCAAATTAAAGAAGAAATTCAAACAATTTCAAGTCCCAAGGTTACAAGATCAAAGCTGTACAAAATGAAGGGAACTAATTCTAACAGTGAGCACAGATGATGTAAAAATATCAAGCAAAAGTACAAAGGCTTGATCAGATGAACAAAAAAATAATAATAAAGCAACTGAAAAGGAAGGCAAGTTAATATTTTGGATTTACTCATGTCCACATGGTTACACTGTGGTTGCTAATTTTACCAACTTGCCTACAACACAAAATAAGAAACTCTTCCAGCTGTGTCAGTAAGTACATAAGTTTTACGGGGGAAAAAGCAGCCAAGAAAGTTCTCTTGCAGAACAGGCAGTGCTGCCAGACACTGAAAAATCCCACACCCTTGGACAGTAGCTGCAAAAGCTCATTCTTGCCTCCCTAAGATTTGTACAACAATGCACAGAAGTTAAAATTATCCAAAAACCGAAGCAAAAGTGGAAGGTATTTACTCAGTTTCCTTTGGGATGACACCCAAGAGTTACAGCTCCCTAAAACTACTCCAATTACTTCCAAGAATTAGTGAACAAAGAGGGGGAAAGACAGTATTTTAACAGCATACCTATAAGTAACAAGGCCCCAGTTCTCCATGGCACCTTTATAAAATAAATACAAAGGTTTATTGATATTGATACACACCTCTTCCTAAATGTTTAAAATTCAAATAAACTACAGTTCATCAATAAAGTGAGTTACTTTACCAGCAGCAAAGTCTGCAATAGCTATGAGATCAATTTTAGGAAGAGGGTAAGGAACATTGAAGTAGTCCTTATAAAAAGGCAGAGTTTTAGCAGCAACCTGTAAGAAATGAGAGGATAAATGTTAACTTGGAACAACTGGTAAAACTTGGACATTTTATGACTGCAAGTAGCCTAAGAAATCTGCACCCACAAGATCTCTTTCTGAAGCCCCATTCCCAGCTTCCAGAGCACAATGTTTTAGAAGACTCCCACCCCTTTTTCCTCCCAGCCCACCCTTCAGTGCTTCTCAGCGCCTTTGGACCACAGGCTCCACCACCAAATCAGAGCTGAATGAAACCCTGTGTTTCCATCATGACAGAGATCAGCTTTTCCACCACTGAAACTCTGTTTCATCCCAAGCCCAGTCACTCCAAGGGGTAAAACACCCTCCTGAGCTTTGCATGGATCAGTGAGCACTGGGAAGAGCTGGATCCAGCCTGTCGGAGATGGCACAGTCCCCCCGAGTGCATTTACCTCTAATGCAAACTTTCCTTGTTCTGCTTTGCCCACAGGAGTGTAGACACGCACCAGGACCCCATCAAGGGACCTGGCCTCTACAAAGTCATACTCTCCCACCACAAAGGCGACCAGGTAGGTGGACATGATGGGGGTGCGAGCGAACTTGACTTCCACCAGGTTCTCGTCGTCCGGGTAGGGCTTCCGGTCCAGCACGTTCTTCCAACAGGGAAGGGAGGGGGTTAATGCCATGGAATCGAAACTGTCTTACACAATCCATTCAAAGAACTATTGCATCATGGTGAGTCACACTTTTGAAATGAAAGGACGGGAAAGGAAAGACAGGGAGATGTTGGAGAGGGTCCAGAGAAGGGCAATGGAGATGATACGAGGGCTGGAGCAGCTCTGGGGCACGCTGGGAGAGCTGGGGTGTTCAGCCTGGAGAAGAGAAGGCTCCAGGGAGACCTTAGAGCACCTTCCAGTGCCTGAAGGGGCTCCAGGAAAGCTGGGGAGGGACTTGGGACAAGGGCAGGGAGGGATGGGAAAAGGGGGAATGGGTTAAAACTAGGAGAGGGGAGATTCAGGTTGGGCATTAGGAGGAAATTCTTCACCACAAGGGCAGGAAGGCACTGAGCCAGAGAAGCTGTGGCTGCCCTATCCCTGGAGGTGTTCAAGGGCAGGCTGGATGAGGCTTGTACAGCCTGGGCTGGTGGGAGATGTCCCTGCTCTGAGCAGGGGGTTTGGAACTTGGTGATCTTTAGAGTCCTTTCCAACCTTCACCATTCCATGGTGACTTTTTATGACTTGAAAACACAGCCCAAGGTGCAGCTCACCTCCTAACTACAAGTGCCCCAGCACGTACTGGAGGGAGACTTTTATAAAATAGATGTTACAGTTAATTACTGCAAAGGCAGCTGAACACATCAGCTATCAGTTTCTCTCCTCCCAAGAGAATGTAACCACACCTCAACAAGGCACCAGGCTCTCACTTCAAATTCTGAAACAGAAACCACAAGCATGTGGTCAGGGAGCAGGGCAGGACTTCACAGGTATCCAGGGAAGTTAGCTGCTGGAATTTAAAAAGTCTGTTTTTAAATTGACTTACTCTTCTCCAGCAACACCTTCTAGAAATACTGGCACCATATTTAGAGTAACAACCTGGAAACACCCACTGGTATTTGTGACAGAGGTGCTTCTGCTTGCACGTTCTACCCCAGTTTTGGTAAAAATACTCTCTAGGGCAGAAAACTTCTTTATCTCCAGTGCTGTGTCTGTTCCTGTAGCTCTAACAGCTTTATAAACATGCAAAGGCTCTTTTTTCCCCCACAGTCACTCTCAATCAAGCAGCACGTGGCAGGACATATGCTAAGACTTTTTTTTTTAGAAAAAAAACCCCAGACACCACTGTGGTTTGTACAACCTCCCTGGGTTTTGTGCTGGCATCTGACAGCACAATATCATCTTTTTAAAAGTCTTCTCAACACAGAGCTGCTTAGTGACAGTCAGCAAGCCAGTCTGTATTCCTAAATGTGTCTGTTACCAAGACATACTATTGGGGTTGGATTTGATGATCTTTTGAGGTCCCTTCCAACCCCTAGGATTCTGTGATTCTAGGGTTCTGTAACTATGAAATAATCAACTGGCATTATTACAGTTTCATTTAAAACACTGTTTACCTGCCCATCAAGAACTTACCATATTTGACAAAGCTACTCTGTCCTTAGGAACCACCAAAGAGATATCAAATGTTGCCTTGATAGCAGGCTCATCCCAGCAAGGGAAAGCTCTGCGAGCATCAGTAGCCTGGAGGAAATAAGACCATTAAACAAATCAATCACAAGAGATTGTGGCAATAAAACACAGAAGAATTCAGCACATTTTACAGGCAAGAAGTTGAGGGAATGATGCCTGGTCACTGGCAGAGCCTCTTCACTGACACTCTTGACCTCTGCATTAGAGCATTTTATTCTTCCCATGATAACTTATTTCACTCTTGGGTTTAAGAAAAAAAAAAAAAAAGCAGTTGAAAAGCTCTCTGTGCTCTGATGGAATTCTACAGTCTGAGCAAAATTTAGCAGAGTCATGAGAGGAGCAAAGCTCAGTCATGTGAAAGCAGAGAGCACCCAGGCGTTCACAGACCATACACACAAGACCACCTATTTATATTCTGCACCCCAGAAATGTTCTATTTGCACCAGGTAGCTCCTCCATGGTTTTATGTAATCAGGCAGATAACTCTGGAATTACAATATGGTATAAAATTCTGTCCTTATGTCCAGGGTTTACATAATACTTGAGACAGTATCTGGCTCACGTTTTGGATGTCGTTAAGATACTGAGATAAAGACACAATCTATTAAAAAAAAAATGATTATGCTTCAAAAAGGAAAATTACACAGAGAAAAAAAACCCAGACACCACTGTGGTTTGTACAACCTCCCTGGGTTTTGTGCTGGCATCTGACAGCACAATATCATCTTTTTAAAAGTCTTCTCAACACAGAGCTGCTTAGTGACAGTCAGCAAGCCAGTCTGTATTCCTAAATGTGTCTGTTACCAAGACATACTATTGGGGTTGGATTTGATGATCTTTTGAGGTCCCTTCCAACCCCTAGGATTCTGTGATTCTAGGGTTCTGTAACTATGAAATAATCAACTGGCATTATTACAGTTTCATTTAAAACACTGTTTACCTGCCCATCAAGAACTTACCATATTTGACAAAGCTACTCTGTCCTTAGGAACCACCAAAGAGATATCAAATGTTGCCTTGATAGCAGGCTCATCCCAGCAAGGGAAAGCTCTGCGAGCATCAGTAGCCTGGAGGAAATAAGACCATTAAACAAATCAATCACAAGAGATTGTGGCAATAAAACACAGAAGAATTCAGCACATTTTACAGGCAAGAAGTTGAGGGAATGATGCCTGGTCACTGGCAGAGCCTCTTCACTGACACTCTTGACCTCTGCATTAGAGCATTTTATTCTTCCCATGATAACTTATTTCACTCTTGGGTTTAAGAAAAAAAAAAAAGCAGTTGAAAAGCTCTCTGTGCTCTGATGGAATTCTACAGTCTGAGCAAAATTTAGCAGAGTCATGAGAGGAGCAAAGCTCAGTCATGTGAAAGCAGAGAGCACCCAGGCGTTCACAGACCATACACACAAGACCACCTATTTATATTCTGCACCCCAGAAATGTTCTATTTGCACCAGGTAGCTCCTCCATGGTTTTATGTAATCAGGCAGATAACTCTGGAATTACAATATGGTATAAAATTCTGTCCTTATGTCCAGGGTTTACATAATACTTGAGACAGTATCTGGCTCACGTTTTGGATGTCGTTAAGATACTGAGATAAAGACACAATCTATTAAAAAAAAAATGATTATGCTTCAAAAAGGAAAATTACACAGAGGTCTTTGACCACATTTAAATAAACAGTTGCTCTTAAAACATTGCAGCTATTGTATATAAATGATGCATCACTCATCAGCATGATCCTTGACTGGGGAATTTGCCAGACCCAGAATTTAATGACCTTCACGTTGCAATGGGAAGGCTGCTCTTACTCCTACCCAGCCACACCAAGAGCAAGAAGCCAAAAAAAGCCCCTCTAGTTCTCAAAATTTACCCAGAGGGTGTAGCTAAAAAGCTAGGGAATTGTGTCTTCTCCTCATCCTAAATCCTACCCTAAGAAGGCCACTCCCTGCAAACAAAGATACAGCCCATACCTCAAACTGGGTGACAGCAGCATAGCGGGTGTCTCCGGTGGGGGTGGTGTATTTACTTCGGTAAAACCCTTTCATTTTGTCGTTCAGCTCCCCTACAAAGTCTATCTTTAGTGTCCCTGTCCCTGCAACAGAAACAGATGGGACATTGTTATTTGCATGCGCCAAACAGAACGTTTACTTGGTCTGGATCTTCAGGGCAGGCTACTCAGCTGGCCCCCTGCCCTGCTGAAATAAGATGTCCCTCCAGCTCATCTCCACCCACCACTTTTGTGCCAGCTTCCCTCAAACCCTTCCCTCTCTGCCCATGAAACAAGCTCCAGCAGAGCCAGGAGGCAAAGCCAGACTCGCCAGAGCATTTCAGCACTGATGGGACAATCAGAGGCTGCTGCAGAACCTTCTACACACAAGGCAATAACCAGACCTAAGCTAAAGCCACTTGAGAAGTCTAATCCTACAATCCTTACATCTGAGTGAAGTCTGCAGAAGTACAGGATGGTGACTGAATAATAACAACATCCTCTTGAAACACACTCCACAAGCCAAGGTGGAGCAGTGGCTGCACTCAAGCTCCTAAGTCAATTAGTCTCAGGATTTATTCTGCCCTCCATGTCTCAGTGCAAAAGGGGGAACCTGATCTTGATCAGCACAAAAATATCCCACAGAATGAAACACTAAGGTTTGATCAGCCTAGAATCTTCATATTTGTGTTTCTCGAGAAGAAATAAAACTGGTTTATTCAAACTGAAGAGCTGAGTTCCAGTCGACAGACTCCTCAGAGCCAACAAAAAAACCTGTGGCAGTTTCAAAAGAATCAGCACCTTCAGGCCCAGGAAGATACTGCAGCAATTCAGATTAGCTCATTCTTGGTAAGAGAAACCAGATCAGCAGCAGCTAACACAAAAAGCCTCTGAGCCTCACTCCCAATAGCAGGTAAACAGAGTCACCTCAGGTGTTTGAAGCAAACCTCACCATTAGTGAAACACTTTCAATTTCAGAGACTCACAAAGTGACATATAGTGGACAGACTCCCTAGGGAGCACCACATATTCCCAGTCAGAATCTTCAGGGAAGACAGAGCTGCCCTACTCCAGCCTTTTCAAGTGCAAACATCTTGAAAACAGTTGAAGCGAGTAAAAAGCATTAAAATAGCTCTTACCTTTCTGAAGAGTACTGGGAAAGGAGAGAGTAACTTTTTCATCCTCATTTTGATAGTTGAACCCTGTGGCATGTACCTCTGAAACAGAAAAAGAGACTACTTGGTTCAAAATAACCCCCAGATACATTTTTATAACTCACAAACATTTAAAATTAACTGAATCAGCTGAATCCAACAATATACTGTAGTTGCTGAACAAATCAAAGCTGATTTGGAACAATCCAGAACGATATAAACTCCAGCAACCAACAGAATGCCACCCACTGCCTGAGTTCCATGGTACCTTATTTTGCTTCAGACAAATCCACCACGTTTACACCAGCCTGTACAGCCACAAGCTCAAAGCACCAGCTCCATGGCTCCTTCCACCTCTGCCACACATCCCATCCCTTGGGATGCTACACTAGGACACGGCAGGGAAGGCTCCTGCAGTGCCCAGTGCTGAGGCTGGACTGGGAAGTGGGAAAGCTGGGGAAGAGCTGTGCCTGTGGAACCTCACCTGGCATGTTCTGCTGCCTGTGCCACTCTGTGCCCATCCCCAGGGATCACCAGCTTCCTTTTGGAAACCCAGATCTGCCCCAGAACAATCAGACAATGCTTTCTGCAGCAGCATCTTCAGCTACCAAACCTGGCAAGCCTGGACACACAATGCATCTTCCTGTGCAGACACTCTGAGGTGTAATTCTAGACTTACACTCCAATAAACATTTGGCAGTTCAGTGTAATTTTGAAAGGGACCAGTCTGAAGGATATTGAAATGCTAGCAAGGGTCTGGCAACCTTTTCAGGTACTTTCAGAGTTGGCCTAGAAAGAAAGATCCAGTGAATAGCTCCAGTTTTCTACTGAAGTGGATAGTTGTGGAAAAAAAGGGCAGAAAAGTGGGAAGTGCTGGGATACAGAGAGGTAAACATCTTAAAGAAAAAAGTAACACTACACCAACTTCCTCACTACAAGGAATTCTGAATGACAAAGCTTGTTAGAAACAACAATTTAATTTAGAGAATGACCTGTTTTCCATGCTCAAGTATCACTACAAAACCCCAGGTGTTCAGTTTCAGGGGCAGCCCAGGCACTCAAAATGTTCAGCTAAGTTGTTCCATATGTGACAAAAGTAGCAGGAAACATGTTTTTATGTTCTATAAAATGTCAAGTGCTGTTTATACTGGAATATTATTATTTCAGCCTTAAGTCAGAGTTAATACCAACCTCTGCTCACAGAGAAGAGCAATGCAGAAACTGCATGAATGCATTAGTCTTAACTACTGGTTTCAGAGTGCTCTGCTCAGTTCTTAATCAGAGTTAACCACCATGCTTGGGTACATAATACATAAATGCTTACAATAAAGCAATTTTAGTTGTAAAAAGAATGGAGTAGAGAAACAAATTTAAGAAAAAAATACATACAGGACCAAGGAGAAGAACTTTAGACTACTAGTCTGTGCTGAGGAGTTCCAAGATTTTTTTAAATCAACTGTAAGAGGGGTGAGATAGAGCATTTAAACAGAATACATGCCAAGGACATCAAAATGCCAGTAAGTGTTGGGCAACGAGCAACAAAAAGGACAGGTTTCACTTCTCTTCTTAGAACTGCAGAACATTGAGGCAGAAAAAGAGACATGAGAGAGTTGCAGAGAAGATATTAAGGGAACACTAACATACAACACACTAGGCCAAAAGGCTCATGTGGCTAGGCTCTTCATCAGAGAGGGCAGTGAGAGGACAAGGGGTAATGGTTTGAAACTGAAAGAGGGGAGATTGAGGTTGGACATCAGGACAAACTTTTCACCATGAAGGTAGGGAGGCACTGGCCCAGGTTGCCCAGGGAAGCTGTGGCTGCCCCATCCCTGGAGGTGTCCAAGGGCAGGTTGGATGGGGCTTGTGCAGCCTGGGCTGGTGGGAGGTGTCCCTGCTCATAGCAGGGAGGTTGGAACCTGATGACCTTTATGGTCCCTTCCAACCCAAGCCAGCCTGTGATCCTATAAAAGTGGTTTCCCCAGGTGTGGGGAGTGGAGCTGCCTGCATCGCTCCGATCTGATGAATTTTGACCCTGGCTGTCTTCAGAGTCCAACCAGACAACAAACCTCCTGTTCTGAGATAGCACATTGGTGACCTCGGTCAGAGGGAAGGATGGGGCTGAATACCTGTCAGAAACTGCTGTGGGGCTGCCTGGGAGGAGCCCTGCTCCTGGACAGCCTGCAGATGCTGAGCTGTCAGCCTGTGGTCAGAGGTTAGATGAAAACCTGAGAAATGCCTGATAAAGATCAGAACAAGAATGCAGAAACACTCCCCCCTCCCTGTGTTTTAAAATGACCACAGCAAACGAAAAACATTTGTATCTTTTTACAGCTCCTAATGGAAACAATCTGATATGGAAGACAAACAATACCATGACTTCAGGATCATAGTTCTAACCTACTGAAACTGAGAAATACAGAAGAATGCCTGTTATGCAGATCTTCTGCCAAAAGCTGACAATGGAGATCGAGTTTCCCTCTCCTCCTCTCCCAACTGTAAAGTCCTCCTAAGTGTAGCTGAATTTGTAGCTCTGCTACTTTATAACCTTTTTAACCTGTACTAGGAAAGTCACAGGAAAGACCCAGGTAAACATTCCTGGGGCTAAAGGAAGGTGAAGACCTTCATGGTCGGATTTTTCCCCTGCAGCAGCCTGGGCAGGCACATTCACACGTTGCAGAGAGCAGCCTTGTTTCAAAGAGCTTCTTAACCTTAATTTTACAGCTGTAGTTCCAATTCCCTAAGGTCAGAAACGATGTTTAAACAAGCCTCGGTTGCAGCAGCCACCCCGGGGCGATGCTGAGCACCCCCAGCACACACTGATCACAATGTGCACAGGGGGAGAGTCTTGTGATACCCCAGGGCTGCCCCCTTGCCATGGCAACCAGCCTCTGATGAACACTTAAAAGCAAGAGCTTTTAAGAGATGTGCTCTTGCACATCTGGGACAGAAGGGAACAGTTTCCTACCAGGTTCACTCACAGAGGAGTTGGTGTCTAGAAGAGTGTCCCCTCCATGCCCAACTCCAGCAATTTATTATTTTAATTCTCAAAGCAGCTTAAATATCGATCTCTAAAGTGCAAAATAGAAATGAGAGATTCAAACTAATTTATTTTACTTTTTTTTTTTTTTTAAACTAGCTATTCACTGCCAATAATTTAATCCAGAGCAAAAGAACCATGGAAAACCATCAACAATACTTTTTGTTAAGAGTTTAAGGGAACTGCTTATAACAAAGATGTAATTGCAGTAAAAGGCTGTCTGAATTCCTACCAGTGTTGAACACAAAAGCTCCTGAGGAGAACAACACAATTTTGGCAGCCTCCTAACTTTGGAGAGTTTGGCACTGCAAGGTTGCAAGTTAATCACTAGCACATTAGTACACAGTCTGGACCAAGTGGCATGAGAAAATGAAAAGCTGCTAGTTCTCCATGTCATTGGGGGGGGGGGAGGAAAATGCATAAAAATCAGATCTAGCAACCCTCCCAAACTCAGAGCACTGCAGATCAACTTTTACAGTAGCATTACAAATAAGTGGCAGTCCTTCCACAGAGTACTTCCTGAAACTGCACTAGTGACCAGATGGATACATCAATTAATGATCCCCATTTCTGCATGACATGCTTAGAAACCTGGAACTCAGACAAAGGTTTTAAGCAATGTCAAATGTGCATGTATTTCCAAGTGAAGACGAAGCCAAATGCAAGAGATGGAATTTTGTCAAGTAGCCCTCGTTCTATGGCACGGAGAAGTCACAGGCAATTAAGGTATGGTGGCTTAATGAACTTGCATTCATCAACTGAGCTGCAGTGACTGTGTGCACTCTGCTACTCTGTCTGCAAATTTAGCTTAAAACATCTGCTTGTTGACAGAGCACACACTGTCCTCCTCCAGCATTAGCCACTGACTTGTGCCAATGAGATTCCCAGGAATACTTCATGCTTTCAAGCCCTTTCACACCTCTTCACGTGTTTCAACCCAGTGGTTGTAAAATCCTTCAAAATTAGAAGCATTACTGGGAATCAGACACTCCCAAACTGCTCACGCCAACGCAGCCCAGGCCTCCTTAAAAACCTACCATTAAAAATTCAGTCACATCAAGTCCTCTGCAGAAGAAGGGATGATGATGAGCTTTTTCTACAACAAAGAAAGGTCTCACAACTGGCTTAGCAAATCTAGCCTGCTACAGGCAGAGAGCAGTCTCATTTTCCCCACCTGGCTCCCACTGCATGTTCCCATTCCCTCCCTTCCACTGGCAGCCACACACAATCCCCAGGATCAGGAAGATGATCTGTCTCCAAGCTGCTTTTTTCCCCTCACAGAGGCACTTTTCAGCCAGTGCAGTTTCCTGATCCACATGGCTGCTCTACAGCACACACAGGAATGCTGAGGGAAGGGAGGGAGTAGGAACAAGTGTCACTGCCCCTTTCCACAGCAGCATGACTCCAGATCATCATGGGACCACTGTGCTCCCAGGCAAGGGAAAGCAACGCCCAGATAAATTTGGGTCACGTTGCAAAGCTTTCTATAAGCACTGGGGATCTTTAGTTATTGTTTTGAAACACCAGCTGAGGCTCTGCTGTAACCAGCATCTTGCACTAGCATCCAAGCACCTCCCTTCCATACTAGGAAAGAAAGACCCAAATACTGAGTTCTGGCCTTAGAACCTTTTGGAGGTTGAAGTACAGATCAAAG